ATAACACTGACATCTCAGATATATTTACTAAAATTACCCCAAAATATCTTGAAATACTAAAGAGCACATTTATTCAAAAAATTGTCAACTACGGCCTCCAGATGACTTCAGAATCTCCTGGAACTCTCTGTTTAAGTTAGTGAATACTGTCATAATCCTTTCCTCCAGTTCATCTTTGGTGTTACAAGGAGCTTTATTGGTCTTTCGCTCAACTGCGCCCCACACATAATAATCAAGTAAGTTGTAGTCTGGGGAGTTACGTGGCCAGATGTAAAAAGTGATGTGAGCGCATAAATTGTCTGACAGCCATGACTGGGATCTCCTGTTTGTGTGGAATGGTGCAGAGTCCAGTTGCCAGACATAGGTTCTTCCAGTAGCCACCCTCTTGACCCAGGGTAACACTACGTCATCAAGGCACTTGATGTAGAGTGCCGTGTTGAGTCCCTGTGGAAAGATGAACGTCTTCATCACTAGTGATCACTCCAAACATCTAATTACCATTAGACTCATCTAACTCTTTCTGAATCCTCTACACTCTCCTCATCCAAACACTCTGAAATGTTCGTATTAGAGATTCAGGCGCGAATGCCAAGAAGTACAGAATACCTTTTCCATATTTCTGGAGGAGTGAATTGCGTTATAGTCTTGTTTTTTTATCACACACGGTTCCAAACTGACCCTACTATACAGAGTAGTCGATAAAATCGAAATCACACAACGCGCATGCGTGAAATTAAAAATATAAAATAGCGACAATTTACTCATCATACCCTGTACATATAACATATTCAGTATACTTCAGGCGTTCAAATCTCTTTCAGATGCAGTTACTGCTGTCAACAATATAAATACGAAAAAGATTATTACCATACTCAACATTGCCCTGGTGCTCAAATCCTTTTCTTATTTATTTATTCGTCTTGTATGCGCCGCTTCCCTTCAAGCCATAGGTGATCATGGCTCTCCACAACTTTATATCTGGTGTGACTCTTGGCAGTTTTCTCCCTTTGCTAAGACCCCCAATACACTTTGCGTCATTCGTTCGGCGGGTAAGTCTTTCCCTATCTCTCTTGACCGCCCTCAATATGACTTGTGTGGATTAAGTTTTCCAAGCCCTCCTTCCTCATTATGTATCCAAGGGATTTCAGTTATCTTTTCTTGATTTTGACTATAAGTGTTCTTTCTGTTGCTATTTTCTTTAAAACTTTTCTTTAAAACCGTCCATGGAATCCTCAGTATCCTTCTGTGGAACCACATTACTTCCACTCCTAGTTCATTCCTCATGTATAAATCCAAGATTCACTGCCATATGAGAGGATGGATATCACACGGCAATCCAGCACTCTGTATTTATAACGAATTTTTTCGTTTCTCGGCACCTTGCTTAGTTTTGAGAATTAACTCTTTAGCTAACCCAATGCGTACTTCGGATCTCGTTGTCATATTTTCCATCTTCTGTTAAAACGCTTCCCAAATATCAGGTTGGAGCAAAAGTAATGTCCGATTTTAAATTTTATATGAAAAATGAAAAAGCCCACGATTATGAAAATATACTATTCGTTAACATAACCTTTGCTTTCTCGAACATCATTCCATCTGTCAACAAACATGTAAATGTCACGCCGGTAAAATTCCTGAGATTTTCAAACAAAATATGAATCCATCTCATTTTCAACCTCTTCTCTTGATGTCAACCGAGGACCATCCAAATGATTCTGTAGTCGCCTAAACAAGTGATAAGCAGAAGGAGCAAAGTCAGGAGAATATGGTGGATGAAGCAATATTTCCCAACCAAGCTCTTCCCATTGCTAAGGATCAGAATTTAGCCTCTTCTATTTCTAGCTGAATAACTCAAATGGGTTTCAATGATTCTTATGACAAATGGTGTCAAGATGGCTAAATGTCTTATGTGAAAAGCTGGAAAAATAAAACTCAATTAGTTTAGTGCGTTTTTAGATACAGTGTAACCCGGATATAAGAGAGTTGTCGGGACCGGAGAAGAAGTCTCTTATATCCGGGTTTCTCTTATATCCGGGTTTTGTCTATTTTATATACATTAACACAGGCTCTAATTTGGGACCAGAGAAAATCTCTCTTATATCCGGGTTTCTTTTATATCCGGGTCTCTTATATCCGGGTTACACTGTATTAAACATTTTGTGGGATGGAAAGATACGCTGTTACACCATTTGGCTAATTTTGCTGTTACAAATGGTATATATATATATATATATATATATATATATATATATATATATATAGATAGATAGATAGATAGATAATATTAGTGGTAAATATACACATGCATACGCAAAATATATAAATATATATACATACATGCATACACATACATGTATTTTTTTTAATAAAAATCCCAAGAGGATAGAATCCAGGTAGAACTCAATGTCCAGGACAGAGTAAGGATATAATAAAAAGGCTTAAACACTAATATTCCATGGTCATAATTTATTCCATTGGAATCATAAATACGATCCAATTCATCAGACCTACAAATTCAAAAAGAACACAAAAAAAACAATATATATATATATATTAATTAGTAAGTATTATTGTAACGAAAGAATTGGTTTTAGGCTTACCTATATGAAGAGACATCTTTCTTTCGAGTACGTTAAGAAAACATGCTTTCTGGTCCAATAATTACCTTACACATACACAGAGAGAGAGAGAGAGAGAGAGGAGAAAGGGGGGAGGAGAGAGGCAGTGGGAGTTTGTATTTTTTCTAGTGCATTATGGGAATTCTATTTCCTTTCCTTTCTAACAAGACAAGGGAGGCAACTCCTTCTTTTAATGACAACTAACTGTAAATAATGAAAAATACATAACTGAATTTGTATTTTATTTTTATTATGTACTAGCAGCATGGCCCGGCGTTGCCCGTGCTTGATTAAAAAAATTGTACGACTCATACAGCAATCGCTATCACTTGACTTAAAATATTTTTGCCCTTCCTTTCCTTTCAAGGAGTACCCTTGCCGTGCTGATGTTGCTACATGCCTTACTTCTTGCCTATCGCACACTGCGAATTTTTCCAAGCACTATACTAAACATTAACTCTGTTACGAAAAAAGAACTAAACAAAATGAACACAAAACGATCAGCTTTAAAAAAGGACTCGTAACTGGAAAAACCGAATGAAAAAAGAATGTTAACAACAAATACTTTTTCACACCCAACACAATTCAGCGGAATCAGAATCAACGTTGAGTTTAAGCAAGTGAATGAGCCAATTGGAGTAAAGTGCCATGCAGATTTAAATTTTTCCCACGTGTGACGAACGCAGCTATCGATTTTTTTTTTTTTTTTTTGCATGCTAGCATGCTAGTTAACATTCGTGTCAGTCAGCTGTTGGCTCTCACGTTGGCCAATAGAATCTTCCTGCCTATTCGTGGCAGCCAGCTATAGTATCTCACTCTGGGCAGTAGAAAATGGCCGCAAACTACATGAAAAGTGCCGTAGAAGCATGAAAAAATCGATTATTTCCACTATCGATGGGAGTTGGGAAATGCAAAGTCGGTGTTGGCCTTCTCGCTAACTTGGAGCATGTGTATGTAAATTTTAGTGCAAATCCGTCGAAAATTGCGACCGTGCATTCGTTACACACGCACAGACACACAGACATCCTGCCTGTTATAGATAGAGATAAAGTTAATAAGCCAAAACAGAAATTATTATTGATGACTTTACCTATTTTTTCCTTTATTTCCATAGAAAGGAACGACTGACTAGTTTAAGTCTCTACAGAAATGTTCCATTGTTGTTGTTGTAAGTCTTATTGCTTCGGGGGGGGGTAACTATTTGGCCATAGCCTTTCATCCGATAAAGGCCTAAAGAACGAAACGACGAGTCACACGAAAACATTTTCCATTTTTACATACATCTTTCCTCTAAAATTGTTCTTATATATATATATATATATATAGTATATAAGAAGTATGTCAGTGTTATTCAACCCCGGCGTATGGGCAGTCTATACACCAGGGTTGAATAAGACTGACATACTTTGCGTTAGTTGAAATAAATCTATACACATATGAAGTAATTTTAGATTCTGTTGCGTAATTTATATGCTCTGTTATAATAAATACATTGAGCTCTTTTTGTGGATCAGTTTCAATATTTGATATAACTAGGATTCACTTGGATTATATATCAACGGATTTATACTGCATATATGTATATATATATATATATAGGTAAAATGTGTATGTATAAAAATATATAGTTTTAAGACATGTTACATTTATGGGATAAAGTGCTCAATATCAGAGATAGTGCGTATGTAAATATAAAACTGAACACTGAAGTTGACACTCAGAGGCGACAGACTGTTTCTTGCTAGACGCAATAATCATACGACACCGATATATATATATATATATAAGCGTGTGTGTGTGTGTGTATATATATATATATATATATATATATATATATATATAGTTAGCTGGATTCATGTGAATTTGTGGCCCTGGGTTTTACGCTCTTCGCGATCGTCAGTTTGTTTGACACTTTATATATATATATATATATATATATATATATATATATATATATATATATTTTACACTTTTATATTTATATACATTTATATAAGTGTAGCCTGATGATCGCCTCTGAGTGTCGACTTCAATGATCTCTTTTATATTTACATACGCTCAATCCCTGATATTGAGCACTTTATCGCATAAATATAGCACACCTTAAAACTATATTTCTTCATATATATATATATATATATATATATATATATATTGACATATGTCACTCTATATCTTTGTGTGGTTGGGAGAATAAGAGAACGATGTTCATTAGAATATAATTGCCATCATTTTTCCAGCCTGCTCGAAAACGTAGCCAATTTGTCATCTCCTCTACCATCGATTGCTCGTTTCGCTCACGCAGACAAAACGAAAGACAAACAGACAGACGTGCAATTATAAAGACCAATTTATGTAGCATTTCGTAATTACTGTCTGCGAATGCCAGCAGACATTGCCCCAGGTCTCGCCGACATAGCCGTCCGACACGCCATGTTCCATACTCCGCGGCGTTCACCTCGGCTGACGTCACGCCCCTCAAAGAAACACACTCTTTGCCGACATCAGTTACGTACATATTTCCGGTCAGCCTGGTGTTTCCTCTCCGCGGTTAGAAAAATTATAAAGATGTTTTAGGGCGTGGAGGAGGAGAATGAAGTAAAAAAAAAAATTAAAGAAAATATATGAACACTTGTTGAACGAGCCTCAACCATTGCGAACATATTTATTATTTTGACACGTAATCTTTGAAGCAAGTTTATAACGATGACTTCCACAGGGAATCAAGTGACAACAAGGCTATGAAGCGCTCTCCGAGGTATTCAAGCTGATTATAATAATCGTTTTTCTTTTTTTGTTTTAATAAAGTTCGTTCAGTACAATGCTCAAACGCCACTCAAGGTAGAGGATAACTGAAAAACGAGGATAGATTAAGATTGATTTTCCTATTGAAAAGGTTAATATCGTAATGTTGAATGATCAACGCGGGAGTATTTTCAACAAGTTAGACGTTTTCTAGAAAAGAAAAAAAATCCTCCTTATAATTGGAATACGGAAGAAATATAGGTGATTCGACTCTGTGGACGTGGCCTGATGAATGCTAACTTTAAAGCTTTCAACTGCTGGAACCAAAAAGTGGAGCTCATCTGAACATGTAATGAGATGACGATAGAGTAGCGATGAACTTGCAACGTTGCGTCTCTCGGGGAAGAGTTTGCAGAGTGAAAAACAAGTCATTATTCACAGGGCCTCGAAAATAAGATTGAATGTTGTCAAGGCTAGGTAATGGGAATTGAGCTCTATCGAGCCCAGATTTTCCAATTTTGGTCTAATCTGACTCCTGCAATGATAAAGTATGTTAGAAGAAAACAAGTAGATTCAAGCTCAGTAGAATAAGGCCATCACAGGTAGATGCTCAACAAGTCCTCAACACAAATCCCAACATTAAATAACCTAACAAGGTTTAACATTTCGAAAAATTAACCAACCTAACATTACTACTAAACGGTGAGTTAGATCCTCACAGGGTACCCGATAAAAAAATCCATCATTAAATAACCTAACATCTAAAATTAACCAACCGAACATTACTACTGAACGTGGAGTTAGATCCTCACCGGGTGCCCCATACAAAACACATCATTAAATAATCCAACAAGGTTTAACATGTTGTAAAATTAACCAACCTAACATTACTACTAAACGTTGAGTTAGATCCTCACAGGGTACCCGATAAAAATCTATCATAATATAGGCTCCAGAGGTGGATATGCAATATAATTGGCCCTGTTCTGGCATCTTGTCTACAATCACTTTCTCACAGACGCGCCGTCGCATCTCTCTGTCTTTTTTTCAAATACTTTCATGGCAATTGCTCCGAGGAGCTGCATTCGCTGGTTCCCAGACTTCATAAGTTCAAGCGCCCTACGAGGCTGGCATCTCGCTCTCACCCTTTCACTGTCGAAACTCCTAAATGTAGCCGTCTCTTCTACTCCAATAGCTTCATGTCTCGCACCTCTCGCCTGTGGAATTCCCTTCCCTATTCCAGTTTCCCTGATAGCTATAATCTTCAACTATTCAAATGTAATGTCAATCGATATCTCCAGTTGTCTTGATCTATCCACTACTCTTCTCCTCATCCTTTCCTCTATCACTCCTATCTGATCTTGCTCCAAATTTTCTGTAACCCCTTGCGTCCTAGCGGCTTCCAGCCTTGCTTGGGGTGAAACGTTAAAAAAATAAAAAATTAATCGAATCACCCTATCTGACCTAGCCACACACACACGTACACACACACACACACACACACACACACACACACACACACACACACACACGCGCATATTATTTTGAGATTAAGAACTGTGCTGACAATCATGCTGAAAACCCTGAAAAATACCGTATTTACCAGCTTACAAGCCGTACTTTTTTTCGTAAAAAATACCCTGAAAATTACGTGTGCGTCTTCCAAGACTAGGCTCAAGTAAACTTTGACGGTCACCTAATTGACCTGACTGATAAGGGCGTGAATGAGTCATTACATTATAATGTTAGCTATTTATCTAATTCTCCCTTTTATATGATGTAACCTCAGTACTTAGCTGTTACAAGTATTTCCAAGTTTATAAACCTTCCTGGAGCCGAGCCACAATCTTAAAAATGTTCTATTTACTAACAGAAGCAGGAGCCTTTCTGCTCTTGACTAGTATGTCATTACCACACAAACAAAATCGTACGAGTGATTAATGTAAACAATACGTGGCGTCAGTATTTGAGGGAAGCATGGTGAATGTGTTGTTGTATGAGAATGACTTTTTTTTTCTTAGAAATTTATTTCTAGTATTATGGTGCGTCTTCCAAGTCGCAACGTCTTGGTAGGTGAAAAATACGGTAAATATTTATTTCGCCTTTTAATTATCTTAAACGATGAACAAATATAGTTTTCTTAGAATCAAGGTACGTAACTATTTCAACTACGAGGAATAGAAGAATTGCATTTGTTTCTAAGAAAACTATATCTGTTCATCGTTTAATTAAAAGGCAAACTAAAGCTTTATTTCTTTCAGGCTTTTAGCCATGGTTGTCAGCACAGTTTTTAAACTCAAAATATTACGTTTGTTTTCACGATCACTTATCATACTGACGTCGCAGAACTTTCGTATCTGCAACCGAAAATGATAAAAATAGCTTCAAATGAATAAATCATTGAATCTTAAACCAGGCTAGCCTTCATCAGACTTTATACACCAGTACTACTTCTTTTTCTTCTTCTTCTTCCTCTTCTTCTTTTTCTTCTTCTTCTTCTTTTACTTTTTTCTTTTTCTTCTTCCTTTCTTCTTCTTCTATAAAATTGAACGTTCATTTAAACTCTAGCTATACGCTCTGCATCTTCATCTTTTTTCTTCTATTTCTTCTTTTTCATCATATTCTTTTTTCTTTTTCTTCTTCTTCTTCTTCTTCTATATAATTGAACGTTCATTTTAAACTTTAGCTATACGCTCTTCTTCTTCTACCTTTTTCATCTTTTTCTTCTATTTCTTCTTTTTTATCTTCTTTTTCATCTTCTTGTTATTCTTGTTCTTTTTATTGTTTTTCCCCTCCTTTTTTTTCTTCTTTTTTCTTCTTCCTTTTCTTCTTTAAATCTTCTTCTCCTCCTCCTCCTCCTTCTTCTTCTTCTTCTTCTTCTTCTTCTTCTTCTTCTTCTATATAATTGAACGTTCATTTAAACTCTAGCTATACGTTCTGCTTTTTCGTCTTCTTTTTCATCTTCCACTTTTTCTTCTTCTTTTCCTTCCTCTTCTTTTTCTTCTTTTTTCTTCCTTTTCTTCTTCTTTTTTTTAAAAAATCTTCTTCTTCTTCTTCTTCTTCTTTTCCTTCCTCTTCTTTTTCTTCTTTTTTCTTCCTTTTCTTCTTCTTTTTTTTAAAAATCTTCTTCTTCTTCTTCTTGTTCCTTCAGGACGTGGGCTATCATGGTTCTCCACACTTTCCTGTCTTTTGTATCCCTTAATAGGGTTTGTCATTATCCTATCTCTTCTCTCTTTTTATTCCGTCCATTTACACAACGCCGTTTTTTCTCCTGCCATTCATTTTCAATATGTCCTGTGGTGTCAAATTCTCTCTTTTATATATCCTAGAAAAAAACTCACTCTCTTCCTTTATACTTCTTCTTAAAACTTCCTTATTACTCACATGTTCCGTTCATGGTATTCTCAGCATCCTTCTGTAGAACAACACTTCTGTAAGTTCACGTTTCTTTTTTATCTTTGGGGAGATTTTTCAACATTAATTGCTATACAAATTAATAAAGAAAGAGTTATATCAAACAACAAAACCCATATCACTTGAAGACTTCCAACAGCAGCAACAACAAAAATGAGTAGCACATTTAACTAAAATAATAAAAAAAATTATATAATCCCCCCTAAGAACAATAACAGATTTGAGACGTTTTATTTTCTTGAAAACTCTTTTAAGGAAAAAAATGTTTTATATTTCAATCAACAGTAAAGCTAAGCAGTGAATGTCAACCACACTAATATCTTTTTAATTTTTGCAAATATCTCCAGATCATTGTTATTATAAGCCTTTTCTCTCCATCAATCTATAACTTAGGTTTCTACAAAAAACATATAGCATGAAAAAAACGATGTAATAAATTTTTATCGGCTTAAATATATATATCATTCTTAAGAAGAAACACCAAAGTATTTTTGTTATTTTAAAATTTTTACTCATTCTTATCAGGTCCGAAATTTTATTTAAAAATGTTGTTTATTTCTGTCATCAAAATTAGTAGCTATCAGCCATTTTTTCTAATTTTGTAAACAAGTTAAAAAATCTCGTTTATTTTTGGTATAATTATACCAAAAAATCAATTCTACGTTTTTCAAAATTTATTTGACTAAAATTAGCAAATTTAAAGATTAGTTAAAATATTTTTGAAAGAAGCTTTTACTTACTTTTTCGAATAAAAAATTGTTCGAAATAAAAAGTAAGCGATCTGAACTGTGTTGTCATTTTCTCGAGTGACAAGTGATACCTGTCATCACATATCGACAGCTCACTGAGATTCGCATCATACAGATGGTCATTGACGTAACGTTTTTTGTTTTTTGTGTGAATCCTTATGTACTACCCCGTAATTAGTAGATAATAAAAAACAAAAAATTAGCTTCAATTTCCTTAATTTTGTTATTTTATTATTACTGGAACTTAAAACATAACTTTGTTGATACTATCTATTGTTACGAGGATGCATTTCTATAAATTCCTTTGAGTTCTACTTGTTATTACAAAAAAGTTTTCCTCATGAAGTAGTTGTAAAATAGAGAGAAATTAGAAATAGAATGTTTGGAAGATTCTAGATCATTCTAGTATATTCGAGAAAAATCTAGAAATATGCAAATTAGGTGTTATTTTGGAAAAAGGGTTGTCAATGCTGTCAGTATCAACTCCGGCTTTTGATTCAAGGACTATTATATCCAGCCGAAAGAATCTCTATAAAAAGTTGCCGACCAACCAAAACCAAAAGTTTCATGGAACAAAGTTGGTAAATAGAATTTTGACTAATTTTCATTGACCAAACTAAAATTAATATTTATTTACCTTTG